TTATATCTATAGCACAGTTTTACAATTACAAAAAAGATGGATTTAAAAAAAAGGAGAATTCAGGATTCCAAAGGTTGCACTTTCAAAGACGAAAGGGACAAGCAGAAACATAGTAAAAAATGAATCTGAATATCCAAGCTATATTGAAAATTAAATGCACAAAAGTGCATTAAAGTGCACGAAAGCAATAAAGATATACATTTTACCTGAACATCCAGTTCCATGGACGAGTCCATCTCCTGTATATCCAGTGGTGCAGGTACAAGTCGCATCAAGGGCAGGAGGAGGATTATCCGTACAGGTGGCCTGGGCGTCACATGGATCAGCTAAACAAGTGTCTATGTCTATTAAACAGGTGTAAAATAAGAAAAAATGAATGGCTTACTCATGTAAAAAAAAGAATGCAATAATCTTAAAGGTTATTCATTTGAAGAGCAACTGTTAAAAAGAAATCTGAACACCCAGGTTATATTTCTATTTACCATAGAGTGTACGATTACATGAATGGAATGGAATACATTTTACCTGAACACCCAGTTCCACTGACGAGCCCATCCCCTGTATATCCAGTGTTGCAGGCACAAGTCGCATCAAGGGCAGGAGGAGGATTATCCGTACAGGTGGCCTGGGCGTCACATGGATTAGCCAGACAGGCGTCTATGTCTATAGTACAGTTTAACAATTGCAAAAAAGATTAATAGGGTATAATTTAAAAAAAATGAGAATTCAGGATTCCTCAGGTTGCACTTTGAAAGACGAAAGGAACAAGCAGCAACATACCATAGTAAAAAAATGAATCTTAATATCCAAGCTATATTGCCATTAAAAGCGCGCAAGTTCACAAAAACAATAAAAATATACATTTCACCTGAACAGCCAGTTCCACTAGCGAGACCATCTCCTGTATATCCAGTGTTGCAGGTACAAGTCGCATCAAGGGCAGGAGGAGGATTATCCGTACAGGTGGCCTGGGTGTCACATGGATTAGCCAGGCAGGCGTCTATGTCTACATACACGTGGGAACACAAGAAAAACACCCAACATCCACAGACATTAGGCCACCGAGTTTTTGTTGAAATCTTATATTTTGTCGTGATTTTTAGTATGTAGGTAGCACCAAAGTTTGCTGTTCCCTGTTGCTTTTGTCATGTATTTTGTCGCTGTATACCTGTATGTCTGGTGGTGAGGTTAAAATTAGCTACAGCTAGAGTACCTCACCACCATGTCCTGTATTATCCATGTCGAATTGCATATAAAAAAAGATATGCTTGACATGACTACATATCCATTAAGCAAATCAGGCTCTAATTTGCATAATTGATGAGGAAATCTGCTTCGTTCTATAATAGGACTCTTAAACACTTGTGACATGTAATTGAGAACGAGGGGATCATTGGTTATGGAAATAAGCACCTCATTTGAATAATTAGTGGGGAATTTTCTTATTCGCATGATTTATGAGGAAATGTTAGAATAGCATTCTTTCTTAAGATAAGACTGTCATTGGGTGGAGAATAGGACAAAATATGATTCATGCAAATGAGGCTCTCATTTGCGAAATCATAATAATAATAAAGTATAATTCTTCCACCGGAAGGGTTAACATCATTTGGCGAAGGTATGAGATCGCGTAATTCTTGTGTTATTAATAAAGTTGGTAAAACAAGTGACCTTACGGGAGACTCAAAGGAAATGATACGTAGCAAAATGCAGGGAGTAGCGCTTTGCAAGGGCAGTCTTATTGATCGAATAGCGTTGGACATCCTACGAATTAGAATCTACTGTATGCAGCACCATGCGACTGTACGTTGGTAAAGTCGTAAAGTATCAGCCTATCTATTCAATAAGAAAAAAAGCAAGTCCAAGTTAAAGATACATGAACAGGTAGTGTTTGTTTTTGCGGAATGCTCTGTTGTGTTGTAATATTTTAGTGATAGGTTGTTACATAAATGCTCTATTGTAGTTCATGGGTACTTACGATCAAGTGTTTCACAGATCACACAGTAAGCGTGCAGGTCATCACAAGCAAAATCTCTCCACCGATTAGACACTCCTGGTTTAGTTGATAGATTTTGCTCAATGCGAACGCAGTCTGCATCGCCGGGTGCATCGTTGGGTTCCTTTGGATCAGTTGCCCAGTTGCTGTAGTTTCCCAATAATTCCCCATCTGTCCACCTATGCTCTCCCTCTATTTCTGCATCTTTAAGTCCAATCCAGCAGGAGACCTGGTCGACGACGCTGTTCCGCAGAGCCACAATGTGATCGTTGGTCCCTTGGTCTTTTGGGAGAGCCACCCGGGCGTTCTCACTTTCGCAAAACTCTTCCGCCTCTGGGAATGTTCGTTGACCGATGAATACTTGATAGCATCTGGCACCGTAGGAGCTCCATCCTGTTGGGCAGCTGTCTGTGTCTTAGGGAGGATAGAAGGTCAATCAAGTCCAATTAATATGGACGCTGAGCTATTTACTTTTTAACACACACAGTCATGGGATTTTAGTATGATAAAAGAACAAAAGCACTTGTCAAGTTTGTGTTGAGGAAATAGATGCTAGTTTTATGTTATTCCAATGTGAAATTATGCTTGGAACACCACAAGTCTCCCTGGACTTCTTCGTGAATGAAATTACACACTATTCTAAACGCAAAGTCATGTTTACAGTAAGGCCATGTCACGTATGATAAAAACAGCTGTTGGTTAATCGGTACGTTTACTTGTTCTCAAAGTAATGTACATTTTATTCTTTTTCTATAACATGTAGAGAAAATTCTAGTTTATCCTTGACAATTTACAGTAATAAACTGAACAGAATGTTAACAACAAAAACACATTTGAAACTAGAAAGGCCAATATTTGCTTTGGAGCAAATATAGCGATGGGTTCACCACATTTTACCACATGGCAGGGAAAGAATGAGAAACACAAGGGAAAACAATGATTTACATTGATATAACTATAATATGAAGTAACATACAACTAAAACAACAGTTGGATAGCTATTCCCTACTTTATTGGTTAGGATTTTTAATTGCATAATGCAAACTGTTGATTTTCAAAAAAAAAAAACGTTCATGCCCCGCATTCCAATGCTGGAGCAGAAAAGCTTGAAATACCTACCAAAACACTTGAATACAGACATACTGTCAGTATGGAAATGCTCTGTGCAGGTGTTAATCAAGTTAAATCCCAACAGCCAATCAGCAAGAAATGCTCTGTGCAGGTGGAAATGCTCTGTGCAGGTGTTAATCAAGTTAAATCCCAACAGCCAATCAGCAAGAAGTATAGAGGAAAGCTGCATGCCTATTGGTTGATGCCCTGCATTCCATTGTGATGACTCATGCCCAAACGTGGTAAACAAGGCACACTAACACAGTAATACATTTGCTATAACACAGCCAAAAAACTCAAATAAAACCATTCTAAAAGCCTGTATCACAATAATTTAAAAAACGCCTAGGGGTATTTGCCCACTGTACCTCCATACCAAATTTCAGGACCTTGGGCCCTAAAATGAAGAAGCTGAATCCATTTAAAAAATGGCAGGAGAAGGAGGAGAAGGAGGAGGAGAAGAAACATCAGAAAAAGCAATATGGGTTCACCACCACTTCGTGGTGTGGTGAACCCATAATGAATATTCATCAAGATACTGCTTTCAAGGAGAGTCGTTAACACAGTATAGAGCTAATGTGGTGTACATAATTTCCGTACCGTTTGTGTGTGTTGTGTGTGTGTGTGTTTATTGATCGTACACACATACAAAATACAGGACGTAGTGGTGGCGCACCCAAGTTAGAAACTTATTTTGACCCCACCACTAAATAAATAAATACAATAAAGAAAATAAACATACACATAAAAAATGTACAATGTTGAATTAAGGGTATTCAAAAGCGCAAGTCCGGTTTCCCACTCAGTGATTGAATGATAACAAAGAAACGGCACTATTGCAAATATAGAAAAAAAAGTTTAAAAACGATCTGTTGAAGTAATAAAGTTCTGGGTAAGTGATAACATGTTGCATCACTACACATGAATAAATTTTCTTGCTGTACAATGGTACGTGGTACAGTGTATTGAAAAGCTATTAAACAACAACGCCACAAGGATATCCTATCATGTATTCAGAATTACGGTGAATTGCAGTGTCGAAGGGAACACGGGTTTGTTTTTGAAGACATTATGTAAGATGCATGAGAAATAGTTCAATATTGTATGCATGCATGGTTTTTCATGACACTTTGCTCGAGTATACGTAGGCGTAACAGGCAAACCCAGGCGTAACAGTGATGATAGCCGTGTACTGTCCTTCATATCACACATTGTCCTCAGTGCATGCACAGACATACTAGTACAGTATCTCTTGTGGGCAATCCATTACAGCAGCAATTACGACCTCAGCAGAACTAATGGGTAAAGGCTCGTCATGGATAATAGTAGAAGCTACGAACGGGGAAGGAATCATAGAATAAAATAAAATAAAAAATAATACTATAGCTAGTAGTATCATTATCGTGAGCCATACAAAAGGCTAGCGCTAACATTTAAACAACGGACTTTGTCGATAGAATTAGATAATTAAAGAAATACGATGTGTGTCTTTTTTCGGGTATTATTTTTGGTGCTGAGTATGTTAAAGACTTCCCAGAGCCGTGTCCAGCCAAATTTTGTCACAACCTTGCCTCCTATGCATGCAATGAACAAAGATCATCCTATGACGTTGAGGCATTGCGATGCGCACTCGAATAGTTATGGAAGGCCTAGCAATGAATTTTCAGATGTGCTTGCGCTCTCTGTGAGTTCTTTGAAAGTAGGCTAACACACTCACACGTACACACACACTTAAACAAACATACACATACACGCGCGCGCGCGGGCATAGACAACTCATCTCGATACTTACCACTTCCATATGTTGAAACTGCGAGTACCCACAACGTTAACGCTGCGAACACAATCTTGTATCTCGCGGACATGTTGTTCTGTAACAACACTGCTCTGCTGATATTCATGGGTTCAACAGGCCGTACTGTCCTGGTAGCACATCCAACATGGTATTTCTTCTTTCTGGTGCTGCCTTTGCTTCAGCCCCTGTCAGGTCTGATCAAAACATGTAGATACCAGTATTCTGGAACCAAACCCGATCCTGTGCCGTTAGTCAGGGGAAAACGACATTACTAGCTCTACCTCGTACACACTGCTTGATCCCCAGTGGGCTATGTTATTGTGTCTCCCTGGCCACAAGTCAACACCCTGACAACCGCGTCAACACCCTGACAACACTTTTCATCTCGTCTCATCTCAATTTTTTTATTGTTCAGATGTTTTTCTGAGCCAGATGTTCTACTAAGGGGTGCAACACATGTTCCACGCCAGTAAAATGCTATATACTGTAGCTTCCTATTTGTGTACTTGTGACTATATGATATTCTATCATAAATATGTTCGATTTTCATGAGTCATTGCGAACACAGTGTTTGGCAAAGACGACAATGTAGGTTATTGGGTTGTTTAACGGCCTCGGATGAATAATTCATCGCGGCCCGCTTCAGAGAAAGGTAGACACTGTACATGTGTTCAATGTACCATTATCACTGACAAAACAAGTGCACCAGTGCACTTTGATGTGTATTGAACCCTATAGATAGTAAATAACAGTGGTAAGTGTGTTTTACAGAGAAAGCCATACGGTCGAGCGATGATCAGACTGTTTAAGATGGACATTCATAGAACGGCCTGGGAACAAAAATGCTCCCAGGTCACACAGGTATCTATCTGGCTCTGCAAACCATCATAATTACAGTTCTAGGCGCAGTAAAATAAATGGCTATATAGCATCATGACAACACCAGGACAGAAGAACTCAAACATATCGTTTCACCCACATGTGCATGCAGACATGCCCAATCCTGTTTCATATATTTATCTTATCTTTAATTACAACACCACAAAAGAATAGTGGTAAGGTTGACGGACGTGTACACTTGTATAAAAAAGATGCAAGCTATAGCATTATGCCAAGATGGCATTATGATGATTTTTCTCACTCATATCCTTTATACTACGATATATACAACTGTTAAATATCTAATTGGAGAACTTGTTCATTCATATCAGTTAGGCGTTGATAGGTTTTGGTGCCAACTTGACAAATCCATTGACAATATATCGACATGAAGATACCCAAGACTGTTATCAGGAGTAAATTGTGAAGGAACATGCTGAGCATCTTTCATTCTATCATCCTAAATAGTAGAGAAGGAATCCGGCCACAAAGACAGTAAAACTGATTGGGAACAGGATTCTGGAGAAGAAGTCGATCCTGTTGGCGACAGTCTCGGGAGATGACGTTTCCTCATCTTCTGCCCAGGCTGTGGAAGGTCCTGGGATCGGCCCAACTCTTCCCCTGCGGGTTCTGCGGAAGGAGAGCTGTATGTGTGGGGAGAGAGAAGACGGTCCGTCCGTCAAATCAGCTGATGCAAGTTTCTTTCACGACTGTGTGAGATAGTTTAGCAGTAGGCTAGTACTTAAGTAATGAAGACCAGGGAAATTTTGATTAACACGTTCTGTATAAAACTTATAGTACGTTTATAAATATTCAATTGCACTGCACAGGCATCACTTAAACTTACAATGAAGACATTTCCGCGGAGTATGGAGTTGACTGTAACTGTCTCAAACAGAGCCAGAGTGACGAGGATGACACCGCCGCACATCCAAACATCTTCTGCCCTTACAACTGTGATCTGTAAACCAAATTGCGCGAGAGTATACTTTAGTCTTATCAGTATATTTTCAACCTCAAGTCTTCACCAATGTGATTTTTCTGGATCAGGTTTGGCATGCATAAGTGGAAGCCCATACCATAATATTTATGATATTACATTTATCTTATTTATGGAGATATACTGCCTCTCCGACAGAAAACTGGACCTTCCTGACCAAAATTTCCCATAGAAACATCAACAGCAAAATAAAATAACTGTAGAAATAAGATCAACTAATATCTGCGTATAAGTGCGAGTGAGCCTGTAAAACATAGCACTTAGACATGATGTAACTGAGTTTAGCAGTCTTACCCCATGCTCCTTACGATTGCCGGCCATTGTGATGAGCGCCAGTATGGCCGTGACACAAAGCTGGACTCGTGCCGTGATGTCCCTGGGGTGGAGCCAGAAGGACATCCAGGAACAGCCCACAATGACGACACTGGGGACGAACGTACGAAACACGTGACTCCATCTTCGACGAGAGAATCTCAGCTGGATCTCAAGTGTCGACAGTCCTGTAACATTAAATAGAATCACACCATTAAAAACTTTTTTTAGTACTTTGCTCAATATCAATTTGTCACAACCAGTGAAAAATCCCTAGAAAGATTTCCTTGTTTAAAAAAACAGCCTTAGGAGTTACTCCAAAAAAAATAGTGAAGCGTTGTTGAAGAAGTCAGAGTATCCATAATCGTTGATATAAGATAGCTCCCAAAAGAAAGGCATACAAAATTAAAAATATGCCAATAATATCGAATGAGGAAAATCAACGAAATAAAACGTTTAATCCGGTCCTTAGTTGATCTACTGCTTATAAATGAATGAATGAATGACGACCTTTATTGCACATTTTTGCCACACTGGGCTAAGTACAGGTCAAAACAAAACATAATGGAGAAATATATACAAAATAAAACTAACTATCATTACATAAATTCGACTTCTCGCTTTTCAGTTATGGTAGAGATAAATGAACAGATATGTTTATCGATGGAAGGTTTGTCAAGTCGCATCAGGAATATGAATTTTTCTACAGTGCTCAAGTGTATGAAATAGGGAAATTGGTTTTGTACAAGCCTATACAGATCACTTCTCTCTTTACTATATAATCTACATTCTATAACAAAGTGACATTCGTCCTCTATTCTATTCAAATTACAACATGTCCATAACCTTTGTTCCAGAGGGGTGCGGGTATGTCTTCCAGTTTCAATTTGTAGTTTGTGACTGCTTATCCTTAATCTTGTGACTGCATTTCTGATTTTCACATTTTCATTACTTAGGTATTTTTCTTCATTGTATGTAGTTTTAAACAGTCTATACGATCTTAATTTATTTTTGGCAGCTCCACCTTTGTTGTCATTGTGCATTTCTTTTAGAAAAGTTTGGATAATATTAGCAGCCCCTTTTTCCGACAATGTAACTTTAAATGACAATGTAACAATAAATTCTACCTAGATTCAAACAGATATTCTCACCCGCTGATGTGTTGGAACATTGGTCCGCGGCGCTCATGTAGCTGCACGTTCCCACCAAGTTTTTACACCAGTAACATTCGTCACCGTCCAAAGTTTCAGTACAACCTTTCATCAGCGGACAGTGGTTTGCAGGGAAGGTACAGTTGGCTTCAAACATGTCACAACCTGCACATGGTCAACAACAGGTCTAGTATGTAACTTAACATATTCATATGCAGTTAGTGTACATAGAGATAATTTGTGATAAAATCACCGTTATAACGGTAATGTATTTCTGATCGTACTAGATACGCAGGACTATGGTTTACCTGTAATTGGATCAGATGAATCCTGATTGAGTGGGGCAACTCTTGACCTGAGTTTCAGTCCTATCATCTCGAACTGTGACGTCACTGCCGTCATGTCCACGTGGACAGGATGTGCTTTGTTGTACTTGGACGGCTGACGGAAGGGGAAGACGAGACCACCGTCTAGATGAAAGGCAAATTGTCAATATTATCATCTCAAATAGATGGGACAAATTTAAGTTTGTTTTAGCACTTATCACATGCAGCTTGATGTGTAGTTTGATATAGTTATGTTTAGAGTTGATTGGATTCATGAATGAAAAAGAAACAAGATTGAAAATCGTGAAGTATAATTTATGTGTTTGTATGAATACGAAAAGAATCACTTACATCCATGAAGCTCGACACTGCATTCATAGTCGTCAAATGGATATTTCTCTAGGCTTGGCGGACAAATCAACTCTAACTTTCTCCTATGACAAGAAGAAAAAATGGGTTTCAATGATGTCAAACAGATCTATTAATCTATTTATCATTTTCCAAAAAGATGCTTTCTATCAAGATCATCTTTCATTTTCAATTTCCACACAGTTGACATATATGTGGCTAAGTATTTACGTGATACGTCGGTGAAGGTTAGACATCCAGGTAATAAGATACGCCAAAACAGTTACTCAAACAACTGGATACCAGAAACGTCTGACCGTTTCCAAAATCATATCCAGGTGCTTCAGTAACTGTTTTCCAGGGTACGTACGTGAATTTATAGAACATGATCCCTTGTCGCTGAAGCCACATGTTTATTGTGCTGTTCCTTTTGCCGTCATCATTGATGTGCGCGACCCTCCGCACGGTTCTTCCGAAGGCGACTGGGGGCACCCATAGGAGGGTAGTGGATACCGGAGTCACCTGACTTGTTAGCTCTGCAAGCCGATTGTCAACCCAAGCCATGGAGTATTCAATCGTCACTGTCATGTTCTGGGGAAGATGATGCAGATATAGATATAGATATGTTAATATTTCAAGGTAGGCTATATTGCATTCATTACACGCTTCAGCATGTCACATCTCCAAATACTAGTACGTCGTGCGGTCGTCTTGCGATCGCAAACTGAGGGCATTCTTAGGATAGTCGTGCAGGTCTCGTCGTTACGGAAATGCTGTTCTGTCAGAGTATGCTTGAAAATTCTACGACATCGCAATCGTACGGCGGCCTACGAGGAATGTGACCGCAGACTTACCGAGTTCGCTTCAGAAAGCGGGCCGACTTCAAGAACAGCCACAGTGTAGATCACCTCGACGCTGCCACCTGTTACGGAATAGAAGAAAAATCGAAATTCTTGTAAAAAAATCACGAGGTGTAAAGAAAAATATATACAGGAACGACAAACCAACTAATACCTAACTAACGTGGCAATAGAAATTTTTCTGAAATAGAGACTTCATATTGATAATGATGCCTGTCTCGTATAAATGTAATCATTAAACAAATCACACAATAGAAATGTGTCCGTATAACACACATTTCTCGTGTCCACTGACCTACTTGTGAGCATTGAGAAGAAGCAATTTATTGATGAAAAAAAATAATCATACGTATTGTAAGTTTCATGACAAGTCGAATCTCAAGAAACGTAACATCTACCTCTCGTAGGAGGACTGCTCTCCTTCTTATAACCCCGCGGAACTGCCTTCCCTGTTCTCCACTTTTCCCAGTCTGCCACGGTAGAAGTGTCATTCATGGAAAATAGCTGCAGATTTTCACGGACACCGTGCAGTACCCGGTGCATCAGCCTAGGGGGCGCGGTTGTTACTGTATGGGTCAGCGACGTTTTCGTTAGTTCTAGATCTCGTTTCCATGTTTACAACGCACATATTATAGCAGCAAAACGTCAAATACATATAATGGTCTGGAGGCTTATGTAATAATATCCAAACAAAATACATCTATTAACAAATCAACATAGGAAATGCTGGAATAGATTTGATGTAAGTGACACCTGAACATCCAGTCCCATTGACTAGACCATCTCCTGTATACCAAAGGGGGCAGGTACAAGTCGCATCAAGGGCAGGAGGAGGATTATCCGTACAGGTGGCCTGGGCGTCACACGGATTAGCCAGACAGGCGTCTATGTCTATAGTATAGTTGTAAAATAAAAAAAAGAAGATGAGTGGGGTATACATGTTAAAGAGGAGAATTGAGCCATCTAAAGGTTGCGCTGTCAAAGACAAAAGGGAAAAACAGCAACTATCCATAGCCAAACCAGGGATCTGATCATATCCCAGCTATATTTCCATTAAATGCACGAAGGTGTACTCAAGTACACGAAAACAATAAAGATATACATTTTACCTGAACACCCAGTTCCACTGACGAGCCCATCTCCCGTATATCCAGTGTTGCAGGTACAAGTCGCATCAAGGGCAGGAGGAGGATTATCCGTACAGGTGGCCTGGGCGTCACACGGATTAGCCAGGCAGGCGTCTGTGTCTATAGATAGTATCATCAAATGGTCATACAAAGCCCTAACATCGACAAATATTAGAACTTTATCAGCCAAAACACTTGAACGCCCAGTTCGCCAAGAAGGCTGCGTTGCCATGCTATAATGAAACAAAATACCTGAACATCCAGTTCCACTGACGAGACCATCTCCTGTATATCCAGTGTTGCAGGTACAAGTCGCATCAAGGGCAGGAGGAGGATTATCCGTACAGATGGCCTGGGCGTCACACGGATTAGCCAGGCAGGCGTCTGTGTCTATAGATAGTATCATCAAATGGTCATACAAAGCCCTAACATCGACAAATATTAGAACTTTATCAGCCAAAACACTTGAACGCCCAGTTCGCCAAGAAGGCTGCGTTGCCATGCTATAATGAAACAAAATACCTGAACATCCAGTTCCACTGACGAGACCATCTCCTGTATATCCAGTGTTGCAGGTACAAGTCGCATCAAGGGCAGGAGGAGGATTATCCGTACAGGTGGCCTGGGCGTCACACGGATTAGCTAGGCAGGCGTCTGTGTCTATACAAGAAAACATCAGGTATAATGCAAGAAACATATCTTTGTAAGAAAAACAGTGACACTATGATATTCTGTGAGAAGAAAATTTATAATATGATACCATACATCACTTTTTGTCGATAAGTTTGTACCTGAACATCCAGTTCCGTTGATAATCCCGTCTCCCCTATATCCAGTGTTGCAGGTACAAGTCGCATCAAGGGCAGGAGGAGGATTATCCGTACAGGTGGCCTGGGCGTCACATGGATTAGCCAGGCAGGCATCTATGTCTATTGTACAGTTGTAACAAAAAGATGAAAGGGGTATGTTAAAAAAAGAGAATTCAGACATATTAAGGTTGCGCTTTTAAAGACGGGAGGAAAAACAGCAACTATTTACTCGTAGTGAAAAAAGAAGTCTGATCATCCCGGCTATATTTCCATGAAATGCACGAAAGTGAACTAAAGTACACAAAAGTAATAAAGATACATTTTACCTGAACATTCAGTTCCGTTGATTAGCCCGTCTCCTGTATATCCAGTGTTGCAAGTACAAGTCGCATCAAGGGCAGGAGGAGGATTATCCGTACAGGCTGCCTGGGCGTCACATGGATTAGCCAGACAGGCGTCTGTGTCTATATACATGCAGGAACATAAGAAAAACAATATTTAACATTCCAACATCAAGACGAAAGAACACTCAATCAAAGCAGGTCTCAATTATTGACTGAATGTACGACAGAGTTGACACCTTCGTGAAAATATGGTACGTTTTACCTGAACATCCAGTTCCACTGACAAGACCATCTCCTGTATATCCAGTGTTGCAGGCACAAGTCGCATCAAGGGCAGGAGGAGGATTATCCGTACAGGTGGCCTGGGCGTCACACGGATTAGCCAGGCAGGCGTCTATGTCTATTGAAAGAAACATCAGGTATTTAGCCAGGCAGGTATTTATGTCTGAATGACGACACGAAAAAAATTAATATTAACATTCATAATTCAGACGTCAGGATCAGTCAGAAGATGGCTAAAAAGTAAAGGTTTAATATAATAATAATAACATAGGTGTACGGAAAACACCTGAACACCTGAATGTTGTTTACATAAAAGGAATACCTGAACATCCAGTTCCACTGACGAGACCATCTCCTGTATATCCAGTGTTGCAGGTACAAGTCGCACCAAGGGCAGGAGGAGGATTATCCGTACAGGTGGCCTGGGCGTCACATGGATTAGCCAGGCAGGCGTCTCTGTCTATAGGTCAAATTTAAGATGACATTAGAAACGTATCTAAGTGTTACCAAAATATCATGAATTCTCAACATTTGCACAAAATCGGTGTGCACAAATATGCCTGAATTTGTACATGTGTAATACATGACTTTAATAACAGTCTGATACCTGAACACCCAGTTCCACTGACGAGACCATCTCCTGTATATCCAGTGTTGCAGGTACAAGTCGCATCAAGGGCAGGAGGAGGATTATCCGTACAGGTGGCCTGGGCGTCACATAGATTAGCCAGGCAGGCATCTATGTCTACATAGATTGCAACATCAAAAGTAGTAGTTTAATAGCTATTTACCCAGACAACCGGAAAACCATGTATCTGTATATCCGACCATTATGAGATCTTGAAAAAGACGACAAAAGACTAACAGCTAATAGCTAATCTTACAATACTCTCATCGTTAAAGTTATCATAACACATACCTATCTGACAGCAAATCCATTAGTGCTGTCGCAATTGCCGTCATTCCATGCAGGCCCTTGGCTCACAAGAATGGCGCAGTCTTCCTCCGACAAATTATTGGGTTCACCAGGATTCCAGTTATGATAACCCGATGACTCCAGGGTTTGGCCGTCCTCAAACATCCACTGGCCTTCGTTGCTGGCATCTGTCATCCCAATCCAGCGCGATCCGTCTCTCAGACCTGAGATGAAAGTGTTGGTGGCGCTGTCTTTCGGCATGGCCAACATTCCCCCGTCTTCTGCACACTTCTGTCTAGCCTCGTGGTATGTCTTCTGCTCAGCGAAGTCCTTGTAGCAACCTCCGTTAAAACTAACGTAGTCTGGCATTTGACAAACTATATGAAAGAGAATGATAATTTTGTACGAAATTCACTAGGCATTAATTAACTAACCTTAAGCATGCGATATCTACTGAGGTTTGTAGGACATTTTTGGCGAAACTAATTATTCCTTAAAGGGCTGGACATGCCACTACATAGCCCAACAATGGTTTGAGTTACTTAAGGTGATGGACGGACATATCTTGTAGATTATAACACAGCCGTGTGTTTGTTCATTTGTTCAAAAGACGTTTGAGGTGCAATCATGACAACACTGACCCCAGCCCAAACGATAGCATTATAATTTGTTAGTATGTAGTATTATAATAATTCCAAGCAAAGCACGCCTGGAATCTTTAGAAGGTATTAGACAAAAGCGGTCATGACGGCATATATTACAAGAACCTACTGTAGCAGCCTAGAACCTCCACTCTCATGCCGATCCAGTCATGCCAGGACTGAACCACGAAGCGCACATAACGGGCCGCAACGGGGTGGTCCAGTAGGTTGGTGACAGGAGTGACAGTGTCAGTGTTTCCAGCAAAGACCTTGACAATAAACGGATAATCTCAGATTAGTTTCCCTTTGGGGAAGGAATGGTCTTCTACGTCACTAAAACGAGTTTTTGTTGGAGGGTTTGGCGCCAGACATGCTTCCTGATGAATAATGCTTTGCTTAATCGACGAAGACGTGAGAAAATTACAGGATCTTTTTTACCTTATCTGAGCCATCACTGTCCGCGTGGGTCACCCAACTAGCTCCATCTACACCGTATTGTAGTTTGAAGGAGGTTACCCAATCTGTTCTTTCAAGAGAGCTATAGAGTCGACCTTGAATAATGGTGCCCGAGACGCGCATCATCATTCCCAAATCCACCTGGAAGACAATGGCTTTCCGTTTTACAGTGCAGGTGAAACGTAAGGACAGCAGGTCCGACTAATAAGCTTTGATAATGTTCACGACTAAAAACACAAGTCTGACTAATAAACTTTGATGATGGTACACGACTAATAGAAGTTAGTCTATTGATGGATACCGATTGTTCTTAACTAGGATATTCTCCAGGCAGCGAAGCCATCCAATTTCACACAACCTTCATCTGAGATGTTGATGAAGTGCGACAAAGACAAACAAAAGACAGCCTGCATATGAAGCGGCCCAGTAGTGATATTTTACAAGTGGACAGATCTGACCTTATAATTAATGGACATGGCGAAAATAGGATAAGTTTTAAATAAGTTATTGCCTTTTTATTTTTGATATTTCTAAGTTGATGCGTACCTGTAACCACTGTCCGATTGTGTTGGTTCTGGCTGCCCATGCGCCATAACCGTCGCCCCCATTTAAACGAGCGTGGTGGGGCTGCCGGTAGAGGATGTCATCCCAGGTCGTCGATGCCGTGATGCTCGCATCAGGGATAGCACCAGATTCCATCCCTAGCGGATCAAGACAAGCTGAAAGAACAAAAAGAATTAACATGTTATTTTTACTCCGTGAAGGAGGTCAGGACCTCCGGACGGAGTGTTGTGATCGGCTGATTTTTCGTGTTCGCAGTCAAAACACTGGGTTCTCTTTGTGTAATCGGCACGCAATTTTATACGCCGTCTGCGGGCATGCCCGTGTTGATGCACGAATGTGTATTTTTGCCGTTGCTGCTTTCGCGGTCAATGTAATATTGCAGACGCACCCCTACAATTACGAGGCGAATTGGAATGGTCCAGAAAAACGCGTTGTTTGGAATAGCAGTGGGGGGGGTGGAACTTCATGCAGAAACGGGGTGGTTTTGATAAGTGGTTCCAGATGTTTTTGCCCATGGTTAAGAGATGCCAAGTTTTTTGGAAGATGTTCGCAGCCAAAACGCATTCTTCCGTACGTCGCATTTTTGTGTAATTTCGCATGTGGTGTGGCATTATGTCCGGGATGATGCACGTCTTTTTATTTTTACCGTAGCTGTTTTGATATTGGAGTAAATGGTTATTTTCGAAACATCCCCATGTCGTTGAAATGTTGTCGTCCGTTTATGTCACCGGTAGTAAGTCGCGGCGGGGCTGATGGGGACGGAAATGTGGGGTGGTCAGAGGTCAACATTAGGAAATGTTAATACCGATGACGTAATCCTATCGATTTCAAACTGGTCGGGTGTGGCGACCTAGTGGCGGCGTGTATTTAGTCACGTAGCAACTGGCCGGTCGTCCTAGCAACGACACATGGCCAATATTTTGGGTTGGGCCGCTCCATAGTGTTAGTGGAGCAGCTCTTTGTAAACATGGACAATATTTTTGAGCAACCCATCAATGTGTTCTGCCTCGTGGTCTGATGCGGTCTGGGGCTGGTAAACCGCATATACAGTACTAGTAGATCGGGTAATTTTATGATTTGCTAGTTGTAAAGGCGTCGTGTAGTATGAGCCGGTATATGAAGAAGTAGTCTGTGTTACACAATCATGCTTTCGGCCGGATTGATGTGCAACTGTTACTAATTGCTGGGACTGTGCTAATGCCGACCAGTCGCGCTGTCCTGATACACCGCGAATGTGCGAGTGTTCCCTGTAGACAGTCCCGGGAGTCATTTTTTTCGCACATTCCAGGAGCCAAACCAAAATACGTTCATGAACCGAGTCCAAAAAACCGAAACGTGAAAATCGGATGATCGGACCTGATGTACATTTCTCTTTCTGTAGATTGTACACACAATACACACATCTTTAGATAATCTGGCCATGGCAGGTAAAAAAAAAGTAACCCTGAATCATACTAGATTAGCGTAAATGCATGTTTATGCGTTCAAAACAAGAAAAGAATTTGTTTCCCGGTATTAATCTCTTGAAACACGGCGCTGAATATTGACGCAAAAATATTTCGGGCATCGCGCGCCCTTCCCCGTTGTTTAGACTGTATGCAAATCCCGCGTCACGTGTCGGCATTTCGCATCTCTGATTGGTTGTTGCGTCTTAAGATGACTGAGCCGACGCGCGTTTAAACAATTTTTCTTTGTTCGATTTATCACACTTCACAGAGAATTGTCGCCAATGGCTACTTCTTTTTGTTGCAATATATAATACTTCACGGAGAATTGTCACCTATGGCTTCTAGTTTTTAATTATTTTCATTAGGCATGGCATTGCAGCCCTGAAAATAAAAGGGATTGAATTTTTTTCGTTTTTCGTTTTACCTTTTTTTAGATTTCGGCTGAACTGATCCAACAAATACGGCTTAAAATGTAGACTGAAATGCATCAGGACCAGTCTCCAGACCCCGTCCCTCCGTTTCCTTGCAATTGTAGGGAAGGGACAATTATTTCACCAACTTTGCTCAATGACAAATTTGCTTCTGAAAGTTTTCCATATAATTTCACACAAAAGCACTTCAAAGCGAACCTGAGCAGGTGGGGACACTGTCACTCCACATGCCGTCTGCCTGGCAGGTACTGCTGGTCGCACCTACCAGAGCGTAACCTGGGTCACAGGAGAACAGGACAGTGCTCTGGTAGTAGTAGGAATTGGAGCCTGTTACTGCACCGTTTATAAGTGCTGTCTGCAGCGGACACTGTACGGCTGGAACACAGAAAGACCTTGTCAACAAAAAGTGAATGCTCGGCTTACTCATGTCAACCTCTAATTCCTGCTCGCCCCTGGCCTGATTCTGAGACCTTTGACCTCCTTTCATTCTGCCTGCCAATCTTCCCCACCTACGTGCTGTCAACTTATTCTACCTATTTTGTCCGGACAAACAGACACATGGGTTTATGTACTAAGTCTGTGTCATGCATATCTAGTATGTCATTTGTAGTGTATAGTATGGCAACGTCTGACGTCTGCTGAAGGTACCGAGGGTCGGACGGATAGAAAGTACAGCAACCTTGATGGAGATCTGAAAATTAGAGGGATTTGGTAAGAAAGTTAAGTCAGTTTGGTCATCCTAAGAGCTTTCGACGCTACCAAGGTACAGAATGTCACAATCCGAACTAGTTTTGATAATTTAAACGCATACCTTGGCAGACGAATCCCCTGGTGGCGTCGCACTTTGCATCATTCCACAGGGACACAAGTTCGACACAGTCTTCGCCAGTGGCAAAGTTGTCCGGTTGACCGGGGTACCAGTTAGAATAACCCGATGACTCCAGAGTCTGGCCGTCCTCAAACACCCACTGGCCTTCGTTGCTGGCATCTGTCAACCCAAGCCAGCGCGATCCGTCACTCAGATCTGAGATGAAAGTGTTGGTGGCGCTGTCTTTCGGCATGGCCAACAGCGCCCCGTCTTCTGCACACCTCTGTCCAGCCTCGTTGTATTTCTTCTGCTCAGTGAAGTCCTTGTAGCAAACTCCGTTAAAACTAACGTAGCCTGATGTCGGACACACTATATATGGAGAGAATGAGAAATATGTACAAAATACACTATAGTAACCTTCAGGGTCTGTGGTTGGCCCTGCATGGGCAAAACAATGGTTTTAGTCAGTTGGTTGCTAATGTAAAGCGCTGAGTTGGAGATATGAGATCGATGAACATTAGCAGTAGTTGGTTGGTAGAATACTACAGAGTACAACTACTGTCATGTGTTTTAGACTACAAAAATAGCCTGCTATGTCCTTTCATGACACTAGACTTACCTCTGCACTTATCACGTGCTGCAGCGATCTGTTCTTGAGTCATGGCGTAGTTGTACAGCTGTAGACAGGCGATTCGGCCCGCGAACACTCGACTGTCTCCGTCCCTCACCGCCACCCGGATAGGGTACTGACTTGCAACCTCGGCGACTCCAACATGTGTTTGACCGACCAGTGCGCCGTCGTACCAAATGGCTTCCACGCCTGTAAAACTGTTGTAGGATCCGCCCACATAATTCCAAGTGTTCTGCTGCAGCATATCCGCTACGACGGAAGGCTGAACAAGCCCATCCCTATTTACCGCCCTAGAACACAACAGACAACAGACAATTCAAAATGTTACTACCAACGAATTGGCATGAATGGAAACTCTTGCTTTAATACAGTATGTTGAAACATCGTGTAGAGATTAAACATACACTTTTTGATGTTCTATCTGTATTCTATATTTTCCTTATGGTGCAGTCACATTCGGTTACAAAACTAACCGCCGACAAGGGTCTAAGATAGCCTTTTTTGTAACAAGACAACTGTAGTGACAGGTTCATGCATGGCTTTCCAAAGGAGTCCCTCAGTTTACGATCGTACGACTATCGCACGACGTATGTCATCGGGTTCTAACCAAACCAGTTTAATTTGATCGTCTCTGTCACATTGTTTTGCCGTAGCTAACATAAATATCGAAGGATCTAAGTTTATGGGGACTTCGGTCCCCTTGCCTTAAAATCCATGTGATACATACTATTGTAGATCCACGAACCCATGGATACAAAAAATTGAACAATATTGTGTTTCCTTCGGAAGACGCAGACATTGAGAAGTCCGTGGTTAGACTTGTGTTTAAAGTATTCATAAATACATTCTGATTCTAGACCGTAAACCTACCGCATTAACAGAGATGTTGGAGTTATCTGCCACAGATGGACTGCCCAGGAACCATCGCTGCCGACGTAGTCGACGATAGGCCCGTGCTCACCAGTAGGGAATATGTGGGCCAATATGGTGTAGGAGAAGCGCACGTCCAACCTGCCATTGTTGGGGATGTCAATGTAGGAAGATTCACTTCCCGAAAACAAGAAAGCGCCATCGACGCTTTCATAGGGACCTGGGGCTAACTGTGTTCCTGTTGCCACCGCGTCATTTCCGTTTCCTGTTACGTCTGATGAACCATGCAGCGCGTTTAAGGGCCACAAACCTACAGGGTCAGCTCCTGAAACATACGTGCGTGGAAACTACTTTAGGAACGCGTTGAAACAAGTTTTACTTGTAAATACCTCCAACAAATATCTCTCTCAAATCATGTCTTCCAGAGCTCCAGTGATATCTTGTAACATCAGCAGAACCGGTTTTAGACTATAAAATATGCCTATGTACATGCCCTTAAAGTTGAAAAATGTCAAAAAGATTAACTCATCTACTATGACATGTACATGTGTGCGTGTATGTATTCAGTTGAACAAAACATTTCGAGGTGCAATTCAACTTTGACAATTAACACTGACATAAACACTAGCCTTTCGTAAAAAAAAAAACCTTACCTGTGCAGGTGGGGACACTGTCACTCCACGTGCCGTCTGCCTGGCAGGTACTGCTGGTCGCACCTACCAGAGCGTAACCTGGCTCACAGGAGAACAGGACAGTGCTCTGGTAGTGGTAGGAGTTGGAGCCTGTCACTGAACCGTTTACAGGTGCTGTCTGCAGCGGACACTGTTTTGCTGAAGCACAGATCAAGAAAAAGACATCGACAAACCAAATCCAACAGTATTAGACTATGACCTTCATGAATTTCCCGCGTTTGTATACATTTGTGTTGAGGGAACATAGGGAACACTGATGACGTTAAATGTTCAATCTTGATTTAACCAACATAACATTATAGGGCAGAGCCCAAACAAATGTCCCCTCCTTCTTACTTGATTTACGTAAAATGTGACATACTGTGTATCATGTATGAACGAACAGAAAGTACAGGGAAATAGCAATGCAGGGAATGAACATGTAAATCTGGAGGAGAAAATCGTCAAAAATGATAAGTTTTAGTTCAGTCAATTAAGTCATCCACCCTCTTTAGAATTTTCGTATAAAGAGTTTTATTCCTTTTACACAACATCCTGGGTCCAGCCAGCGGCGTTGAGTAAATGTTGACAGTCAAATATAACAGCTCGAAGCAACAGCAGTGGAGACTTTTGGACGCTACTAGGGTGCAAAATCCCTCTTCGTTTTTATTATGTAAACGCATACCTTGGCAGACGAAACCCTTGGTGTCGCCGCACTTCTCATCATTCCACATGGACTCAGGTCGCAGAAGTTCGACACAGTCTTCGCCAATGTTGTCCGGTTCACCGGGGTACCAGTTAGAATAACCCGATGACTCCAGGGTCTGGCCGTCCTCAAACATCCACTGGCCTTCACTGCTGGCATCTGTCATCCCAATCCAGCGCATTCCGTCTCTCAGACCTGAGATGAAAGTGTTGGTGGCGCTGTCTTTCGGCATGGCCAACAGTCCCCCGTCTTCTGCACACCTCTGTCTAGCCTCGTGGTATGTCTTCTGCGCAGCGAAGTCCTTGTAGCAAACTCCGTTAAAACTAACGTAGTCTGGTATAGGACAGCCTATAGTGGAGAATGAGAATTTCTTGATCAATGAAATCTCTACTCTGTAAGGTTAAGTCCTGGTCCCGAGAAAATACGAATTATACAGTTGCCAGGGAAATCGTAAATATCTCTAGTTTGAAACGCCAAATAGCTTAAAATTTGGCAGACACCACTAAGTATGAACAACTGTCCACTGTTTTTCGAGTCATGCTGTGCACATACAAACAAGAGTTCGTGAAATATGAGTTTTCTATTATATAAAATACTGTAATTATAGAATTCCTTCCTTAATTATGCAAATTAAGTCATCATTTGCATAATTTGCATTTAATTATGTACAACTCTCTCTCAGCTACCTATACACCAAAAATGATGAAAAAACGTTCTTCCTATCTGGACTTATCATTGGATTTTAAAGATTTCGCCAGAAAGTCACCTGCAGTTCCAGAACAAGCTGCTAGGGAGACTAAACCCACACCACTTACTAGTATGCTTGAAAAGGCTATTTGCCACCCAAAAGTCAAGACCATAGTATGTTCAGGACAAAAACCGGAAGTTCTGCTGCAGCACCAAGTTCATCCACCAGGAGGCCCATATTTGACCTTCACGTTTGTCTTACTAAGACTTACCAGTATAGCAAATATCATCACAATCCATAAAGGCGTTATGAAGTTATGCTGACTACAAATGTGTGGAAACACAAACACACAGACAGACAGACAGGCAGACACACAGACACACCAAAAACAATACCTTCATTTTTCATGGAGGTAAAAAGTAAACAAACACAACCCACTGCAACAACGAAGGAACACGACAGGTGCACTTTTTTCGAAATTTTCCTTCTTTACCACAGCTAGTACTCACCTACCAAATATCATTAAGATCCATTCACAGCTTCTCGAGTTATGCTGTACACAACAAGCAGCAAATACATGAAAAGCTTGCTGCAGTGCCGTTGGAAACCACCAGGTGAGTCATTTTCGAACTTGACGTTAAGCTTTGTTTTCACAACCGCTACTCACCAACCGAATACCATGAAGATCAAATCTAGAGTTATGCTATTGACATACATACAGACCCACACCACAGCCAAACCGGAAACATAGCCTTACGGGGAAGATAAACTGCAAGTCCATTCAGTACTAACCGTCAAAGTCTAAGACTACCTGTTGGCTACCCTCATTGGGTTCAGTTGACAAATGGCAACCGTTAGTGGGACAGGAAAAACGATATTGTTGCCCGGTATAAACGTTGTACACACCAACCTGGAAAGAAAATATAAATAACATGAACATAAAACATTAGTTCCGAAGAAAAACAAAGATGAGTGTACTGACAAATTAGTATACTGACAAATTAGTATATATGTATATATATATATATATATATATATATATATATATATATATATATATAGAGAGAGAGAGAGAGAGAGAGAGAGAGAAGA